ACGACATTTTTGGCGACAACTGTCCGTCAGATGACTACAAAGTGCGGACATACGAGAGGGCGTTCGCGTTGGGTATGTCTGTCATGTCTGTCGCCCGTCCGGTGACCGACTATAGCACCCAATTCAATGAGTTAGAGGGCAACCGGTTTCAGGAGCTCTCGTACGCCACCCAAATACTGGCCATCAGTTTGTCCACCGGAACCGTTGAGCCGGTGATGTCGGCCGAAGAGTTTCTCATGATTATTGACCTCCAAAAACTTCACGACATTAAAAACGTGGTGAAAATGTGCAAAATGCTTGTCTCGTTCAAAGGCATTTGCGATCATGATAAAATTGTCCTGCTTAAGTATGGCGCCCATGAAGTACACTGTATGCGGTCCATCACTTACTATGATATTGCCAATGAGAGCTGGACCATAAACCTGGTTGGTCATTTTTATTTTGTTATTTACCCTATAGTTATGTAAAAATATATTAATATAAATTGATATTTAAGTTTTCCATGAATTGAATTTACTCGTGGACATTTCTGAGACAGTATAACTGTAAAGTGATCAAGGGTTTTTCATCAGGGGAATTATAAAACGATTTATACAATGTATTAATTAATTTAATTATTAATCACTAATTGGCATTCATTTATAAATATAATTTATATTAGATATTGTAACAGGAAAAAACTATTATTTTACTATTATAGCTTATAAAGTTACAATAGTATTGTTTTATTATTTTTATAATAACATTTACATTAAAATAAATAATAATTGAATAAAAATAATAGGACGACAAGAAAGCGATGGTTTTGAGACTGGATTTCATAAAAGATAGCGAAATATATTGCGATTTCAGGGAATATATAAACAATATATTTACTGAAATAGACTCCGACATGAATCTGCTTAACATGGTAAATATTATTGTACTATGTACTTATTTTGATAGTGTTATTAATTTGATTGTAGTTTATGTTAAGTGATATCTACTGTCGTTAACAATATATGTTAGGCGTGGCTGGCCCTGAGTTTGTATTTCTTTAATATAAGCATGTTCATTAATTTAAATAATTATATAAAAACCATCTAGACTAATTATTTAAACAACTCTTGTCTCATAGACTTCAACAACACGTTTACATGTATTTACTTAAACGATATCTATTAATGAAATACCGGAGCGAATGGGAGGCCGACGACAAGTTTAACCGATTAATGAATACATTGATTGACTTGTATTATGTGGAGAGTCGTTGCAAACACAATACAATTACCGATAGGCCTGACGATACTGTGCCCCCACTTCTACGCGAGGTTTTATACGAATAAAATGCATGTTTTACTTATTATAAACCAAAAATATTTTTTGTACACAGGTAAAATTAATTTTAAGATATTATTCAGAATACTATTTTATCATTTTTACCATAATATAAATGTACTATAGATTAATTTGAATATTACACTTGTTGTTAAACTTATAATCTGTGTATTAGAATTGTACATTATTTTGCATTAATTTTATTTAATATTAAGTGTATATAAAAGTAAAATTTTCAATTATTAATGATTAACAATTAAACAAAATGGTTAAATATATAATGTTTGGGATCAGTTGTGGGACATGTAAATATCAAACTCTTCCGATGTATCCCTGTTCTCAAAGTACTTTTGTGTCTTAAGCAGTGATTTAACCATTGTTTCAAAGCATTTACCGCGAGTCATATCATTCAATGCCTTCAAGTAATCCATGTCTTTGTGGATCAATAAAAAGGGGTTTTTCATTACAAATGCGTTCACAGATCTGATGAGCCGTTTGTTGTCATAGTTGGCCGCTATTTCGACGATTGTCTTCACGTTATGTATGTCCAGAAGTGCCGCCATTTTGTCGCTAATTTTGTTGACCAAACGCTTGATTTGGTACATATGGGCCAATCGCATGACATCGTAGAGCTGATCCAAGTCTTTGTCATCGCTTAACACCACTTCATCCGTATATATGAATCGACGCATTGCTTCGAAACCGTTAACCGTAACCATCGGGTCGTCTATCGGGATCTCGGAAGCGGTCGACTCCGCGAACGGCTCCGCAAACATCGCCCGAAAGACCCGACTCTTGAACCCGAATATGCCTTTAGCTCCGGGTATTCGGTGTCCATCGATCACAAACACCACATCCGATAACGACTCATCCAACTCAGGATACATGTCCTCCTCATCAATGTCTTCGTCTATTGTCTGCCATTCAAACCAATGGTTAAATCAATGATTAATTGTATGATTAATGGAGATGTCATTACCTAATTGAATGAGACATTGGATCCGTTGTCCTCACTGTCCGACATTATGTGTGTCTTAAGCGGTGATAATCGCAAGTGATGTGAATGTAAGTGAACTGCAAATGACTGAACAGAGAGCTGAACCCTGTCTTATATACTCTGATCGACACATATTGTTTAAAATTAGTTCAAGTTCAAGTTTAAAACATTTGCATAGGTATAAAATATAATTATATAATTTGTAAATTTCCAATTTGTGCCTCATTTTAATATAAAATAATATATAAAACTTAATCATTAATAGCATTGCATTAAATTAGCCCTTAATTTTCAGTATCACTTATGGACTTTCCTAACTGACATAAGTGTAATGCATAAACTTGCACAAGGTAACGCACGGTTGGCACATTTTTGGCATATTCAATTATAAAAGCACTTTACTGTAGAGTACACATACAACCATAATAAT